ATACATACAACCAACCCTGGATGCATATATACCTCCATGTCTGGTTTTATATATAAATCCCCACCTGATTGCATACATACAACCTCCCCTGGATGGATGCATATATACATCTATACCTGGTAGTACATATACATCCCCACCTGGTTGTATATATACAACCACCCCTGGATGCATATATACCTCCACCTGATTGCATACATACAACCACCCCTGGATGCGTATATACATCTATAACTGGTAGTACATATATATCCCCACCTGGTTGTATACATACAACCACCCCTGGATGCATATATACCTCCATGTCTGGTTTTATATATACATCCCCACCTGATTGCATACATACAACCACCCCTGGATGCATATATACCTCCATGTCTTTGTAGCGATGCTGGCGTGCCAGCTAGCATCGCACGCGCTCATTAATTATTCAGGACGCCTAGCAAGCAGAGGTGTTTAATAAACTGACCAGATAGCGTGGTCGACAGAGGGAGTGCGGAGAGGGGGGCACGCGGTGCTCGCGAAGCAACGATCGCAGGTCGCATAGACATGCGATCTGGCGAAGCTCAGGAGGTGAGAAGATAATGCCCAGATGTCGGTCGCGAAGGCCGGGCTCATATAAAAGGCTCGCCGCGCTCGGCGCGGAACAACTCCTCTCCCTGTTGTTCTACCCGACTGTTGTCTCGCACGTCCCTTGTACGCGTCACGGCTTATTTGTAAATCCCTGTTATCATGGCTCACAATATACGTGTTTGTGGTACGTTACGCTTCTAGTTCGTGTTTGCTTTGCGTCTTGCACTACCTTTATCGTTACCCGGTACACACTATACGTCACGCCAAGCACAACCTTACATCTTGTTGCATATATACATCCACACCTGGTTGTATATATACCTTCATACCTGTTCACATTTCTACGCGCAGAGCTGAATATCGCGTGACGTGGCGGTAGAGGTCGCCACGTCCACACGTCCATCGGCGACGTTCGATCATCGGATCACGTAACCATCACATCACCTCGGCAATCGGGAGCAATCGATGCAGTGTTTCGTGAAGACGTTTCTCTGCTGCGTCGTCGTCAGCGTCGGCGTCACGGCGCTGTTGTGCTCGTACATTTACATCGAGTTTCAGCTTCAGCTGCCCAGCTGGCCCGCGGTGCATTTTGGCTCTCACGCAAACACAGGTGCGCTGCATTTCGCCTTTTAGCGGTACCCAGAGCGGCTAGTGATGACGTCATGAAGGCTAGACGGTCTCGTGCGCGGATGCTATTCTCACGAGAAATTTTCTCGTTTAAATTTTTTAGTGTCTTTAGCGTCAGGAGTTAGTATTATGCGGAATCAATGGCCTATAGGATGATTCGGTACATGCTCAGTAAACTGCGGTCGGTCGGTCGGCCGGGCAGTTGGTCGGTCGATCGGGCGATCAGTCGGTCGGTCGGTCGGTCGGTCGGTCGGTCGGTCGGTCGGTCGGTCGGTCGGTCGGTCGGTCGGCCGGTCGGCCGGTCGGTCGGGCGAAGAAAGGGAAGGAAAGGGAACGGATGTTAAACGGATGTAAGCGGATGTAAGAGCGGATGTAAGGGCGGATGTAAGGGCGGAAGGTGTTAACGTTAACGCTAAGATAACACTCACAATTAATGTCATAACTAATATTATTTTTGAAAACGGGCCCCTGATGCTTTTTTTTCTCCAGGGCATCAGTTACTTGCTGCTACCAGCTCGGTTCCAGCGGGGTTCAAGATCATCACTTTCGGATCGTCGTATTTCTCGCACGACGAATGGCCGATTCTAAACCAAACCGAACAATTCAGCCACTGTCCAACCCGCGCCTGCTTCATCTTCTCGCAATCGTACTACTACGAGCATCAATGGCTGCGTGACACCGCAGATGCCGTCGTCTTTCATCCAAGAGATCCGTTACTCTCGAAAAAATTTCATTGGCTGTCCGGTAGGGCGCGCCCGCAGCGGCAGCGATGGATCACGCACATACAGGAGTCTCCCTTGAACATCGATGGAGCGACGTCGCGACTTCGTCTCGTGTGCAACTGGACGATGAGTTACCGTAGCGATGCGGATATCTACGCTCCGTACGGACAATTCTACTTCAACGCAAATGCGTCATCGTCTTCAGTAGACAGTGTTAGACCAGGTCAGTGTGTGTTATTAGACC